TACTCCCTCTGCACCAAAAAACAATAGCAATTTGCACTGTATGTTTCACGAGCTAATATCTCTTCTGTCTTACTGATGATCAAAACCCAAGGTTTAAGAACCAAGTCAACATCTTCTTGGAGAGGCTGAGAATTTTCAGCACACTCCTGCGGAAAGTACTCGATGCATGTTTAGAAAGTGGTTTCTAAAACATGGTTTCACTCAAATAAGAGTGAGAAAGTGGTTCATCAGAATCAACTTGATGTGTTAGGAAGATGTTCTTTTAATGGAGATTTGAAAGCTCTAAGGATTCACAAACAAAGTATTTTACCACCACAATCTACTATTTTCTGTTACCACTGGCAAATTGAATGGAGTCCCTCAGTGTTGGGATGAAGGCATCAGTCACCTACAGTAAGGGATGCTCCTGGCTGAGAACAGACTAGTCTCTTGACCAATTACTGGGAAACTAAGAGGAAATTGCCTTTAGGAAAATCAAGCACTTAAGGTTTTACTTCCATGAGAATGCCTTGTCTTGGCCTGCTGTGGAGGAATCTGAGTGTGTCTGTTTTACAAAGAGATTCTCTAGAACATATTGTAAAGACAGTTTTCATCAAAGGCAATGATGAATAAGAGATGGGGCTAGAGTCTACCAGTGGGACATGAACGGCTTAACCCAAAGTGAGTCTGCAGTGAAAACCAATGCATTTGCATTTCAGCAATTTGATCTGGGGCGAGTCTGTGATGCATTACAATGCTGGGATCAAATCAAGCTTTTCTGGAACTCATCCAACCACAACAAGAGACTATGGGAACCCTACTGCAAGGAGTTCCTCCACTGCTGTTTAATTGGGCTCATCTCCTAAACCAGAATGGTAATTAAAAGTCATCTGCATACAATGCAATGGAAGTGTAGACACAAAGCACAAACGTGTGTGGCCTCAAGTAATGGAGAAGAAATGTCTACTTTCCTACTCTGGGACTTCCCAATTTCTTTGACTGGAAGGTTCTATCTCTGCAGTTTTGATTAGGATCCTCACCCTTAAAGCAGGCACTGTTTAACACTCTGCAGGACAGACTCTACTTCTCCCACTCTTGCCCACCTGTTTGGCTAACTCTGAGAGATAGTCCCATGGACCACATAGCAGAGGATGATTCTCTACCCCCAAAAATTATACTATAGGAATCTGGCATAGCCTCCAGTGGATTTGAACTTTGGACTTTAGCTGCCCTGAAAACTCTGGGAGCAAACCCAGACAACCAGGGGACTAGTATGCCTGTTTTAATGCCTTCCTGCTCTCAACTGACCAGTGTGTTTCCTAGTAGCTAAATGCAATGCCCAGAACTGGTAGGAAAGGAAAAAGAAAATCAAGCATAATTTATCTCTGATCACAAAAGTATCCTAACTGGTTCTGAGAAATAGCTGGTTCTAATTTTAACTAAACAATAGTGTCTGGCCTTCATTTTCAAAAGGCATTTTCATCAAGGATGTGCATATCACTACTTTAGCACACAGGGGAACATTTGGGAATAAGGCTTAGGGAGGAAGATTTAGGTTTAAGCTTTCTTCAAAAACCCTTTAACAGGAGGAAAATCCAATGATTTCAGAATTAATTATTATGATGTCAGTCCGTTCTTCAAGAGTGGGAGAAAAGAAGTTGGCGGGATTGGATTCAAGGCCAAATATAAGAAAAAGATGGTAACTTTTAGTAATATTTTTTAGAACTAATCTCCTAAGAGAAAGAACAAAAAAGAATACTAAAGTTGGATAGATGTCTTCTTTCAAAATCAGTCTTTATCTTCTTTTATGCAACAAGCAACAGAAAGTTCATTTGTACTAATCTCTTTTCTTTACACAATACTTAAGTCTAGATCCAACTCAAATGTCAACACCTAAAGAGCATCATAAAGATTTTGTTGTTGTTGTTAAGCATAGTTGAAATTTCTGAACTCATTTCATATCAGCTTCTCTGGCTCACTTGACAGATAATTAACAGGAGTTTAGGTGTTCTAGGTGAACTGATTTATGAGGCTTTCAGAAATCTGCACAGATGAAATGGAAGCACACCCTTTGTCAATGAATAACTTCTGCTGCACCTGGAAATTGGGTGGCATTTTATTCACAAAGAATCCCTTAAGTTGGAGGGGATTTGAAACAGAGTATAATGACAAGAATTGGAGAAAAGGTACAAAATAGCCTCTGTTTCAAAAATCAAGTACAAACAAAGGCATCTCTTAAAATTTTTTTATAACAGGCAAGAAAGGACATAGCATTACATTACATTACATCACATTACATTACATTACATTACATTATGTGATCACCATGTGGCAGAGTCCCCTCTCTTACACCAACTTCTATAGGCTAGTGGTGGCTGCCTGGAACAGTGGGGTAAGAATTATGAGGGTAAATTTTATCTAAAGTCATGACTGAGAAATACTGTTCTTTTTCAGTAAGTTCCTCTGGTGATTCATTCATTTATGCACTCAATAAATATTTGCTAAATGCTCACTTTGGGCTAGCAATTGTACTAGGAGAAAAATGGTCAAAAAAATAAATTGAGGCCACATACTTAGTTCTCATGGAGCTCATTAATTAGCAGGGAATATAGCCATTTTTTAATAATCATGAAACAAATGCAGAAATTGCATCTGTTACAGTGCCACTGAGTGTTGCACACAAGCTACAAGAATGCTAAACAGAAGATTTGACACAATGGAGAAAGTCCCAAAAGGTTTGACTGAAAAATTGATGTGGATTGAGACTGAATGGATGAATAGGCATTAACTAGGTGAGGAGAAGAGGGAAATGTGGTCCAGGCAGAATGAATCACAAGGTAGTAAGAAAGTTGCTTTGAATGTCTTTATCCCACCAACAAGGGAAGCCAGCAGGAAGGGATTGAAGGTAATGAGTGTATCAAGAGATTTATCTTAGAAAAGATGATAAATCTGCCCATGAGGTTAAAATCTTTGGCCTGGCCTGCAGACCAGCTGTACTTCTCCAAGGCACACCATCATTAATCACCTTGAATAGTTCAACAGCTGGCGGTGGGCACTAATGTCCAGCTGCCTACCTATTTTCAACAAGGAAGGATTAGGACTCCACTGGTATGTTGTGGTGACTGCCAGGGAGGGTATTTTGTCCACAGGTCCTGTTCCTACTCCACTTGGAAATCTCACCTGTCATGACAAGCAAGTTTTGGTATTAGTTATTCTTTGTGGTGTCAGCGGCAGTGGCAATAGGTTTAAAAAATGCAAGCTCAGCACTGGAACTCCTTGGAGGTTAACCAGGAGGTGTGGAGAGTGGGCTCATAGGGCAGCCTGACCCAAAGCCCTTGGAGTGACACCTGAGGGAACTCCTCCTGTTGTATGGCTGCCTGTATGGTGGTACCTTCCGCTTCCCAACTGCAGAGAATTTCTGCTCAAAGACAGACTACTTTTATTAAGTCCTTTACAATTGTCATCTACAGCCAACTCCAGCCATTAATCTCTTGATAGTTCACCTTTTCACATCCCTGTTCATTCTTCTTCAGCCATACTGGCCTTTCTGCTATTTCCAGACACACCATAAACACATCAGCATGCTCCTCCTGCCTTAGCGTTTCTGCACTGACAGTTCCCTCTTCCAGAATACTCTTTCTCTGGATATCTATAGGACACTCTCACCTCCTTCCAGCCTTTGCTTAAATGTCACCATCCCAACGAGGCCCATCCTGTCTGCTTTATTTTACATTTTCACCAGTCCCTTATTCCTACTCTGGCATTCCTATTCTCCCTTATAGAAGTACAGTTGTCCCTTTTTACCATATAACTTACTAATTAATTATGTTTAAGGTTTATTGCCTTTCTGCCCCTACCTTCATTTAAAAAAAAGTAAGCTCCATGAAGCATCACTACTTTGTCAATGATACATTCCAAAAATGCCTAGCACTCTAACCCAAAACAATCACTCAGTGATTAAATATTGAGTTGAATCTCAACCTGGCTCTTGGCCTCATCAAGCCACCCCCTCCCGCCCTCTTGCCGTTTAGCAGCTTGGGAGCCACAACTGAAGCATTAGAACTGGGTATCTCTTAGGATATCTTGAGGTATGGGGGCTGATCAATGGCTCATGGTATTGCTTTAAGGAGACAGTATTAAGCTTTGCAAAGAGCAAAGTATTAGCACTTCTACAGCACCATGGCCCAGCCCTGCAGTGCCATGAGTGTGTCATGGTGAGTGTGTCACTGACTATGGGACAAAATCCCCAAAGGATACTATATACACTCCTTGCACAGAATAAACACTCAATAAATAAAAATAAGTCAGTCCTGGAGTCATTATCATTTGCTACAAGGATACATACATCCACATATGTTTCCTTACAGGTAAAGTATGGGGAAAGATTTCAAACCGACATCACCAAGGAGCCCATCCTCCTCCTTCACTGCCTACCCACAACAGCCCTTTAGACCTTGCCTTAGCCAGGCGGGAGCCTAACTTCACATGGCTGGGGTTTCCCCAATGTGCCCCATGATACCCAAAACCAAGCCTGTTGTGAATAATGAAAGCTTTGTGCAGTTTCCCAGGAGCAAATTGAAGGGCTACACTCAATCCTTCCTGGAATCCAGGAGTGCATTTTCATGATGCTGAGAAAGAAAAAAAGCCAGCCTTAAAAATTCCTTGCTGAGAAAAGTAAAGGGAGATCTAGAGAGCAAAGTACCTAAGAGACAGAAAGAAAAATCCCTCTGCTGTGCTTGACAGTAAAGCCTTTGGAAGTCTTGACTTTGCAACCATGCCAAGTCATTTCAGAAGAGCTGACCCTGCTGGTAAGGTGGCCACCAAGACTAGAATCCTTGCAAATGCATGATAAATGAAATTACATTACAAATAAAGATATAATGCTGTCATCTATGGTCCCAGACTTTATAGCTACCCCAGTGCTGGAATTCATGAAACAGGTGGAGATCAAGATAGGAAGCAGCTCTTTTGCACCCCCACCCTCTGTGCTGGGGTGAGTGTCTCCTTAGCAGCTGACTGACCTGAGACCTTTGGATCATGTAAGCATCGTAGCTTGACCCGTGGTACGTGGCCGTAATATCTGGGCTGTAGCCAGCATCACAAGTGCATGGTATATTCGAGCTCAGGGGCTGTTTCCTAGGTCTATAAACCTGTGGGAGAAAGCTACAATGGTTAGATGCAGGAGGGGAGGATGCAGGGCAAACAGGGAAGGAATTGGGAGAAAGCAAAGAAGGAGGCTTGTCTTGACTTTCTTTGGCCAAGTGGGTGGAAAACCCAGTGTAGAAGATGCACAGCCCCAAACAAGGAGGTCAGATGAAGCTGTCCCCAGTCCCCGGGAACCAGCATTAGCAAGGCATGCCACTCTGTGGAATGACCCCAATGTCTGGCAGCGAGTAGGAGACGTTCCCTTTGCAGGAGAGGGCACCAAGGCACAGTGGCCTCTTTCTCTCTCTCTCTCTCTCTCTCTCTCTCTCTCTCTCTCTCAGCAAGGCAGACCCATGAGAAATGGACCCTGGCTTGGGGCCTCAGGATGACTTTTCCTTCCTGAGGAGGGAAATAGCTGACCCAATTGTGGGGAGAATGCTTACCCCTTCCTGCTCTCCTTATGCTCACTCTAGCAGGCAGAGGCCAGTCCTGGGGCTACATTGATGTAGACACACTTTACATGGTACCATGTGGCATTCAGAGAGCATCAGAGCCACATGTGGCCCTTGCCAAGAGGTGACAGTCACCTTGTGAGATCTCAGACCACTGAGCCAGAGCATCAGCTGAGTGGGGTTCATAATGCTAGAAATTGAATGAATACCTCCCCAAAGTCCCCAGGTTATATATGGAGAAATAATATTTGACAATTTCAGGAATGATTTGCAATAGTCTTCAGGTGAAATTATATTCATTGAAATTACTTCCAAAAAACCCATCAGAAAGCAAAGAACTTTCTGCACAAATTAGAACTTTGTACCTCCTTCCTTTACCCTCAGAAGAAATATGGTGGCTTAGAGTGGAGGAAAAAAAGATAATAGGATAAACGGGTGATTTTTAAACATCCAATTAATAATGGCTAGCAATGCAAGGGCCTGGAAAATGTTCCTACATTGAAAAATTCTGAAAGAAATAGTTGAAGAACCAACAGTGGATGTAAAGAGAGGAAGAAATCTAAAGAACTAGATGAGGGAAGATTTTTTTTTTTAAGTAGGACCCAGAAAGTGAGCAAGAGAGAAAGTAACATGTCCAATGGAAAAGAAGGTGCCAGAATTTAATTCACAGTATCTAGGATTTAGTTTCAGATGTCATATAAAGTCCACTGGAAGGAAAAGAGCTGCGAGGTATTTCTGGGGAGATGATGCTAACAAAAGAGAAAGGAAAACAGCACTGGTGGCAAACCACAGACATCCAGGCACATGCACAGAGCAGTTGAATGATGTTCCAGCAAAAACTCGGGCCATTTCACTCCTATCTGGTTTCAGCTGCTTGAGCCCACAGGATGGACATGGAAAAATGAAGAGCAGCTAAATCCAGAGAAAGCACCCAAGGCCCCAACCCAGCAAAGGACACTTTCCATGCAGTAGGTCGTACCTGCTGTTTTAACTGATGCACTAATCGATCTTTTTCCCTCTTGAGGGCCATGACTTCTTCTTGCGTCTTTTTCTTCTTGGAGGCAGACAACTCCAGCAAGGCAATGTTAGCATCTTTCTCACTGATTGCTGCAAGCAGTGCTTCCTGTCTGATAAATAAAGATTATTGTGATCATTTTTATAAAGTGAAAAATAAATCAGTCAGCTGTCACAGTTGAAATGAGTCACTGAGTATTAGCTCCATGAGAGGGAATTATGGGTAATATTTAAGACAAACTACCTCTTTCACTCTCAGAATAAACAAAGTAATTTAGGTCAGAATCCTTGAGAGCACGGTGTGCTCTAAAAAAAAAAAAAGGCATCTTTCAATGACTTCATTGACATAGCTACATATTCGACATGGGAGTCAATCTGAACATTCACTTCTAAGACACTTTCATCCATCTACCTGTTTATCCATCCATCCACAAACCCATCCAGCCACCCAACCATCCAACCATCTATCCCTACAACAATCCTACATCCATTCATACCTCACCCACCAACTGAAGTTGTAGGTATTCCAATGCAAACCAACAAAATTGGGTAGCAATTTCAATACTAAATATTATTTTCTGCATGCAAGATTTTTGTAGTCAGGCAGAAATATTTTCAACACATTTAAGGATGCACTGAAAATATCTCTACTATTGTCAATATTAGTGATACATTTCCACTTTCAGTGTGAACAGTGATATTACCCTCCTATTTCATGGAAAACCATCCCTTCTTTAGTCTTCCTTATTGCAGTAATTATATTAAGTACTCCATTAAGTACCCCATGTCCCAAATCTATAATAAAAGTCATCCTTGGATCCTCTCCTTCCTTCTCCATCCAGAGTCAATCCACTAAAAACTTTAACAGGATTTGCTCCAAAATGCTGCCTTTATCTAAACTGGTACATTATTACCAAACTTCTAATCACTAGCATCTACTCAGAGTTCACTCACTTGTCTTCCTGGTACAGAGACCATAGTCTTTTTGAAAAACATTATAAATCTGTATTCCACCATTCTGTTGTATGAGAAAAAACATTACATCACTCATTAGGTTTGAAATCCAGACCTTTTACTGATATCCAAGACTCTTTACAACAACTGGCCCTGAGGTCATCTTACTTCCCTTCATTCTCAGTCATTAGGCTCCAGCATATTTGTTCCAAAGCTCTTTAATGTCCTTGAAAATATTACGCATGGTCTTGCCACATAAGCTTTGCTTTCCCCATTCCCTTTGAGCAGAATGCCTTCACCAACACCTTCACGGTACTCAGCACCTCATCATTTAGGCTTCAGCACAAATGCTTCTCAGAAAAACCCTCTCTAGCCACTACCCCTAGCAGTGTCTCCTCACCTTCCACCTCATACTCATCACACTGGCTTGTCACATTACACTGATTTTTTTTCCCCATAGGATTCTTCACTATTTGAAAGAGTCTCAGGTACTTATTACTTGCTTGCTTTCTAGATTTGATGCCCCATGAAAATGGAACATCACCTGTTTGGGGCACACCTATTATCCAGTTTCTAGAAGAGCACTAAGTATACTGGGTGCCAATAATGCTTGCTCCGGGAGTAAGTAAGTCAGCTTTCTACTTCTTAAAGACTCTGGAAGACACTGCTGGACACCTTTCTCTCTTACTAGAAAAAAATTAGAACGTTTGACTCCTCCTTAATCTCTAATCACTCATTTCTCTGAACCTTATTACATTTGCCTCATCCTATCTTTACAGTCCAATTTATGGCCTCATTTATTGCAAATTTTGATCTGGATTTTTCTGGGATAATTTTTGAAGAGGAAATGACTTTTCTAGTGTTTTTAGTCCTCCTTTCCATTGGGGAAGTCTTGTCCACACAGCTGTGTCACTTCTGCAACATTCTAGATAACTTAGAAAACTTCATAACTAGAAAAGCTTCCCTATTGTGTACATTCTTTAAAACAAGCTCTTGAAGTAAAACTTGGTTCTGGTCTTGTTTTGTCTTCTTTTTAATCCCTATCAGCAGAACAGGCCCCCTCCAGATGTCTGAACAAGATGGACATTATTTGGATCTCAGAATTTTCCCCTTTTTACTGTAAGGATTTGTATGGACTTTTCTGGGCCCTGTTAATGCCAGGCAGTAGGAGCTTCTGTGTGAGTCTCAGTCAGACCAGTGAGTAGCAGAAATGTCAGGAAATATCTCCACTTTCAGAGGAAAACCAGTGCAGGCTGGACTACCAACAACAGCATTAATATCTAGCTTCACAGGGTCTGTCTCCTTCTGGATAACATCTTGAAACAATAGACATGCTTGCTGTTCACAGCCAGTGCGTATATACGTATAAGACCAAGCTGAAGAGGCTGTACAGACTTCAAGTGAGGGAGAACCCATGTGCTATCTACTCCAATATAGCCACAGCACATTCAAGGTGATGGTGATATTTTACCCACTTACCCAAACTGAAAAGTCTAAGGGAAGTTCTTTTAATGGAAGCAACCTAAAAGATCAGTATTAAAAAAGTTGGGGACTGATAGTAAATCATGATATATTCTAATTCACTTTTTATAGTTATAAACTATATAGCTGATAACATACTAATAACTTTTAATGATATTGGAAAATATTTATGTGTGGTGAATGACAATTCTCCATGATTCTCCCATGCCTATACACATTTTATGAGTAAAGGCATTATCTTCTTTTCTGTCTTTCAAGGATGTTTGTATAGTGAATAGCCTTGGAAGACAAGATTGTGTCTCCCTTAGGGGCAAAGGTAAGCATGCTTATGACCCTGTATAATAGAAAAGGGCAGGTCCACTTCTACCTATTATAAAACATTCAGGTTTCCTTAAATCAGGGCTGTTCTTAAGTAATGCAACTGCTACACCTATAGCTTTTCATCTGGCCAATCTTCCTTGCCTCCTTGGGATCTTGCTCTTCATAATGTTTTCCTTATTGTATTTTTTTGCTCGGTGTTTTTGCCTAATAAGTCGGTTTGTAAATACCAGTAAAATTAGTCTAACAGGGATTATATGTATTATATGAAACCCTCATTTAAATATTGATTGTAAACTGATGGTATTTTTTGTCTAAAATTCTCGATTGAAATCTTTCACACTTTAGTATATTTGGAAAGATGTTCTTCATACATCAGACTCTACCAAGGCACTTGCTACTAGTATAGGGATGGTGAACAAAGCAAACTGTTGATTCTACTCCAATAGAGCCTTTACATTTGTGGATTGTTTTTCAGCAATAAGCTTTACAAAGTAAGTTTAAAATACCTCTTTAGTAAGCTTAAATATTTGTTAATTATTTAAATAACTGTGAGCTAATTTTGCATGACTACAAATTTTCATTATCCCTGCTTTAAAAGTCTGGGTGGTTTTTGAGAGATATGGCAGCATATTTTTCCAAAGATTAATTTTGGAGTCATCTCTATATCAGATTCAACACTTTCAAAATTTCCATAAGTCAATATATTAACACACTGATTTAAAGCACCTAATTAATGAGAAACACTTTACTGGGCATATCTTGATACTGTTTTGAGAAAATGCAAACACTGGAATAAATTAAGAAGCTCAAGGTTCCTGTTTGTTTGGTTTTTTTCCCTCAACAGGAAATTCTGATTCATCCTCACTTTGAAAACAGACATATTTGCTGCTCTTATCTCTCCCTCTTTTTAAGGTTCATGTATAATGACTACGCCAGTGATAACACATTTGGATATAAATTAGAAACTCAAAGAAAAATCCTCATTATTTTCCCCACTAAGTGTACTACATTCTAGATTAAGAGCACATTTACATTGATTCAGGAATGGTTACTATCCCATGAACTTGAAGCAAGTTTCCATGTGTATTTGTTCTGTCCTTCCTGCTTATTCACAGGCAATGTGAATGTGAGTGTGAACGTATGTGTGTGTGTGTGTGTGTGTGTGTATACATACTCATCTTCAGACAGTCAGTGGGGTTAAGTATATGCCAAAGTCTTGCAAAATTATCTTTAAAACACTGCAATGCTCCAATCTGCAATTATTAAGGTGATCTGTCTATGCCCCAAAATGTAGTTTAAAATATGAAAAGGAAGCCCAAATATGCTTGAAGAAAGATAAGATAATGCAAAGAGAAATAAATCTATAAGAGTCTGCTGAATGCCAAGCTAAGAAAGTGGGCTATAGACAGCATTTTATCAAAGTGCAGCCTAAACAAACGTCAAAAGGAATAATTTCTTTAACAAATATGGGCAACAATGAAGTAAAAAACGGGGGAATTCTGTGCCCTTGCATGCATTTAGTCAGGGCAACAATGGATAAAAATATGTGTAAGAACACATCTAATAACCCTAAACTGTCATTCAGTTTGTAGGAGGTAGTCAAGATACAGCTAATAAAACACCAAAAAAATGGTTTTAGTCACCCTGAAAAAAAATCCTCAATGGAATAAAACAAAAGAGGACTGAAGGGCGTCTCCCACCAAGACAAATGCCTTCTTTTGAGTGTTCCTGTGCTAACCTTCCCAAAGAGCCCCCAAGACCCTCTGATGGTAATACATCCCTAAGTCACTTATCACTGTCAATGTAAAAGGGAGCTTTATAAACATTTCTATTTTACTCCCCGTTGCTGTCGTTGTATTAATGATGACTTGAGCTCTGAGAGAGGGTCTAAAATTAATTTTAGAAGTTGTAAATGAGGCAGGCCAATTAGAAATTGTTATAAATTGGATGGGGAGGGGGAGAAGCTCGAACTCATTTTTTTCTTGTGGGCTCTTGTTTTAGTTAGCTGACCTATCTTTAGGAACACATTCAATTACAAAAGCAGATGCTTAAAAAATGCACTCCATTAAGAAATGTTTGGATAATGACATACAAGGGAGAACCTACATTAAGTATGGTGCTCAGCCCACAGTCATGTTCTAATCATACTGTGGGAAAAAAAAAATGACACTCATTCAATTTTTCCCAGTTAATTACTGTTTTCTTTCCCTGGTGACCCTGAATCTTCAACTGTAAGTTCAGTAGGAGGTGACTTAAGACAGAGGGTGAAGAAAGATCCTGTTCAAAAGAGCCTCTCTCACTCCTGGGGTGAGAGTGAGTGAGTGGAAGGTTGCTATGATCTCTGCCCCCCCATAGA